TAAACACCATTAATCTTTTTTGTTCCACACAGCTTATCAAAATTGTCCAAGTGGTCAAGTGGATCCTCCAAAGCAAGGCCATGATACTTGTTGCTCTGGATTATGTTGATCAAGATGGACTTGATTTCAAAGTTATTGTTCTCCACTGCTGGTGCTCTTATACCAGCTCTATAGCCATGGATGTTTGGCTGATCCTGGGTGCCAATAGCTCTGGCTTGGCGCTGTGGGTGTTGTGGTCTAAGGTTTTCAACTCCTTGACCAGCACCCTCTCCATTTTGAGGCTGATTCTGATGCTGATCCATAACAAAGCTTAATCTGTCTAAGTGAGACTGATCCCCTTCTTGTCTTCTCCTTCTTACTATCTCCCTTTCAAGTGGTCCAATGTTTTCAACTCTTGGAGCTAGGTTTGTTGAGACTCTGCTTCGCAAGTTCATACACCTAAGATTCAAAAGGAAAGGAAGAAGGAGTATTAGTAACTAAAAAAAAAGATAGTAAGATTTAGTCTTAAGCAGTGACAAAATCTCAATGTAAAAATCAACTTAGAACTGGCAACGGCGCCAAATTTGATAAGGAATTTTAAGGTCCTATGTCAAATCAATGTAGTATTTAAGACTGTCAATCCAATCCAAAGTTGTTTTGAAGCAAAGAGAGTACAAGTTAAAGCGATACAATCAATATGGTGAAGATGAGAAACAAGTAACAAGAACAAGCAATGAAATAACTAAAGCTTTCAATCAAGTAATAAAGATGAATCATTGGGTAAAGATGATTGATATAGGATGATCAAGCTTCAATATAGGATGTTAAAGTAACACAATCAACAAGCCTATAGGTCTAGAACTCATACAAGTAGATTAATCTATTGTCATGATAATAATCCTTTTGTAATCAAGTTTTACGCATCAAATGTCTTTGGTTTAATACTATCAAACAAGCAATAAGCTTAAGTATATTAGCCATCTAACAATCCTAACATCAAATGTCTTTGGGTATTCAACCTAGAGAAATACTAAGTTCAGTCAAGCATTTTAACAAACATCTTGTGGGCATGAAAAAGCTTAGATTCTAAATCAACTTGATTAAGACTAATCTAGCATTAAGATCACTTAACAAGCATAGATCTATGGTAATCTAACAAGAAACATCCTAAATATCCACTAAATCACCCTAATCCATCTAACCCATGAACCACAAAGTAGTCTACTCACTAATCACCATGTTTAACCTTAAACCCATGATGGATTCAAGACTAATCTTGTTAATAAGATGAGATAGACTTAAATTACTCAAGAAAAGAAGATTGGATTACTAAAGATTCAATCTTTCTCCAAAATAGGTTTTTGTTCTTAGAGAGAAAACAAGATTGGTACCAACTTTTGGGATCACAAGGTATTTATAATCCAAGAAAACCTAATGGTTCCCAACAAAAGGACTAAAATGCCCTTGAAAACTCTTAAAATTGACCACAAGAAAACACGGACCGGTGTGGAGCTTGGAGACCGACCCCGCGTGGCCTCGTTCTTGGTGCTTCAACCAGCCGAGCGGGTACACGACTACGGATGGGTTTACCCTGGGTGGCCTTCGTCCTTGGTGCTTCCTTTGGCCAAGCTGGTACACAACCCCGAGTGGGCTAACCCTGCGCGGCTCCTTTGTCAATGGCTCCTTCCGGCCAAGCGGGTGGACGACCCCGAGTGAACTGACCCCTCGTGGCCTTCGTCCCAACTTTCTTGGCTTTACGGGTAAGGTACCTGAGTGGGCTGACCCTGCGTGGCTCGCCCAGATCCGAGAAGCCTTCATCCTTCATCCTTTTTTGACCACAAATGATCTCGAACACCTCCATGAACTCCATAACATGCTCCAACACCTTATAAATACTCATGTATGCAAAATGGAACCTAAAGTTGACTAAGACCAAATCTATATGATCAAATATACAAGAATGGATGATTAAAAACATGTAAATATGCAAGACATCATGCATGCAAGCATAGTCCTCTTTCATTTAGCGTTTGTCAAATTTTTAGCGTTTGGGATTGTGACTTTTGTCGCTTTTTGGCGTTTTTGATTAGTTAGAGTAGCTTCTTTAGATGCAGAGCATGTAACTTCTTTAACAGTTAAGGGTGATTCATCGGAATTCTTAGGACCATGAGCCACATAACTATTCAGGAAGACAATATGAGCCAATCTAGAACTTGAACAACATGATTAGATAAACCCACTGTCATGGTGTCTACCAATTTATCAAGCAATTATAATGCCTAAACTGTTGTTCGGATTAGAGAATGATGACAAGCATTAAGCTCATATTCAATTGGTTCAGGATTTATCTTAACATCAGCTTTCGTTGGCTAATGACAAATCGCTTATCTATGCTTTTTCTAGCAACCTAAAATACTTTTGTTTATTAGATTAAACATGCAATCAGATGCTAAATGGCCAGTTTAACACAAGCAGTAAGTATAACAGTAGATAGAGATATCAAAGAATAACAATCCTATTTGTGTCTAGCTAATTTATCCATGATCCCTAACACCCTAAACTTAACAAACGACTACTCAGCCATTGCGCAAGAAAAAACAAAGATCATAATAGGGGAAACATGAAATAAGACTGCAATAAAAGAGAAATAGGGTTCATGAGATCTTCTCTAAACGAGAGAGATGAATATCATTCTCCCTTCTAAGGTAGCAAAGCACCAAGTACAGACATGTAAAGACTCAAAATCTACAGTTCGGGTTCTTTCTTGACTCTTTTGCTCCATATGATTTTATTTCCCTCTTATGCAACTCCAGACCTGTAAAGACTCAAAAAAAGAGTAGAAAAACTAGATAAAGATTTGAAACCAATTGGAAAACGATATATACAATGTGTCAAAAATACAACATATTAATCAATGATCATTATTTCAGGAATTTTTTTCTCTTAAAGAATCAAAACTCTCTCGAACTAAACAGATCCAGCTTCTTTTCCAGTGGCTGGTGGCTTCTCTTACCATCAGTAGTGATGTAAGACTCGGATGGAGCCTTAGGAAGGTGGTGGAAATGGATCCTCAAGCTGGCTTTCACGCACTCTCTTAAGAACAAAGGATGATCGATGGTGATGAACACTTAACCGGAAGTTGATCAAGTGGGATGGGATCGAACAAGCTGGCTTTCACGCTCTCTCTTGTTGGACCGGTGGATGAGAAAGATGATGGAACAAAGAACACCACAAGGAGAGGATGATGGATCCTCGATACAGTTCAAAATCTTGCTGCTTGAATCACACAAGGGGGAAGAGAGAAAGATGATGGCTTTCTTAGGGGGTAAACTGACTCATATATTGATCTAGGTAAAAAGTTGTGTGTTACAATGGATACGTGTGGGACTTTTGTAACATCCCGAGTTGTGATATATGGAAAAGGCTTAAGAGGATTGATTTGGCTACCTATGTCACCAAAGTGCACTTACCTTTTCGGGAGCACATCCAAAGAGAACTCCAGAGTTAAGCGTGCTTGAGCTGGAGTAGTCAAAGGATGGGTGACCTATTGGGAAGTGATTTGCGATACCATGTACGTGAGGACAAAGTACGGGAAAAGGTCATGTGGTGATTGCAGGGTCAGTAAACATGAATCTATAGCCTTGGAAAATTAACGGACCGACCATTGGAACGAGATGGGGCCCACAGGCCGAGAGAGTGGGTGTGGGTGGCCCATTAGCTGTGGGCGGTCAAAGCGTTACAACTTTATTAATAGTCCTTCAGCCTTTGACCTAATGGTCGACTCAAAGAAAAAGAAAAGACTCAAAAACGACAGACTTAAGGTTCCAAACATAAAAGAAAACAACTAGCACTGCACGGTTGAAGACCAAAAAAAAAGATGCAAAAATAAATAAAACTATAACCAAGCTAAGACTTGACCTCAACCCTGATTGTCTCTGGGATGGGTGAGTTCTAGGAACCACTAGACTGGACCATCTTACCTGCACAAATCGTAAATAATGAAAATACTTCCCTTGATTCAGTACTGATCTTCTTTGGTACGTTGGTGAAGTTGATGTTGCTTGGACCAGCCTTGTTTGAACTCTTGACTTGTTCTTCTTCTGGTTCTTCGGTATTTGTGTCTTCAAGGTCTTCCTCTTCACTCTGGCATGCTTCATCAGGAATGGGGTTTTCTTCAACGTTGGTTCCTACAAAAGAACCATCAAAATCAGTTCCGGTCAAATAAACTTTCTTACCTTGAGTGATATTGAGTTGTGCAAAGGCATTGCTCAAGTCATCAGTTGTCTTGTTTCTATGTTCTACTTTGGCTAGTTGAGCTATTGGTATGGTTGGTGGCTCATCCATGTTGTCTAAAATGGTTTAAACTGCAAGTATGAACCTTTCTTTAAGGCTTTTCTTTTTGAAACGTGTCATTGACCTTTCTATGTCCTTACGAATGGTTATGGGTTCATGGTTCTCGTCGATGACCTCATTAAGTAGCTCCTCAAATAGAGAGAAAGTTTTCCACATCGATATTGGGAAGGATCATTAATAATATATAAATAGATGGATCAATTTACTTATTTGAATTCTATCTAACTTAACACCCTCCTTTTTTACTTTTTATTCCTCCTGTTACTTCCCTGGCCCCCTCGTCTCTCTCCTCTAGCCACCGCTTTGATATGGTTGTTGCTCTGCATCTTCTCCAGTGAATCAATCCGCAGTCCTAAAGTAGAGCAGTGGTGAGAAGTGGCTACATGTCAAGATGAAGGGTTTGTGGCAGTAATGTCCTTCATATCCTTATATAGGTTGATGATTGGGAAGGATGTCATTGTTCTTAACAAATTCAATGACTATCTCAGCACATGTTTCCGCTTGATAGATTTGGGTTTTTTTTGTTAAATACGTTTTGGGTGTTGAAGTAGATTGTGGACCGGATGGCATATCTCTCTCGCAAATGAAGTATCGACTTGATATCATTTCAGAATGTTTCCTTAGTGGTGCACGACTGTAACACACCGATGGGGAAAAAAAAGCCACCGGCTATATGTAATCAGCTCAATCATTGACTTATGCGTAAGTTATTTATAGATCTTAAACTACGAAGAAAACAAGATAGGCAAAGTATATAGATGTGTTATGTGGAGAAGGTTAATCAATTAAAGATCTTGAAGAACACTCGTATTTCTCTGTTACTAGAGGTATTGGCTTTGTATTCTCTCTCTGTTCTGCTCCCACCATGTCTTTGCGTGCACTTCCCCAAAACGTTCCCGGCTGTTGATCAAACAATAAAAGCATAAGTTTGAAGGATTCAAACTGCTGAAAATCTTGTAGATGCTTCATTAATTTTAAGGTAACTAGTATCCTAAACCGGAAACCAGAGTAATCAAAAGGCTTTTAGCACTAAAGGATTCATCAAAAATGCTTAGTGTAGGTGCTTTCTATACCTGAATCTGACCCGACGTAGCTCTCTAGTACCATCTACTAATTGTCTGATGGTAATGTAAACGCCTGGCTCGTCCTCTTCGATCCACTCAGCCTGCATTTCACTAGCGTTGCTCATTGACGGTGGTTCGTCTCTAGAAGAAGTGGTGGTTCGTGCTGCATCCATTGGAGGTCCTCCATGATGATGACCATAGTTGCTAAAGCCACCATAGAAGTGATGCGGGACACTAACTCCTGGAGGTCTGAAGTTGTGTCTTGGAGTCCAGTCTTTGCTTTCTCTCGCTGATTCCATCTTCGAGTAAGTTGAATCTCTCTGTGACTAAAATGAAAATATAAACAAGACAAGGTTCACAAAAAAAAAGGTCTTTGTCTGAAGAAACTCTCAAGTAACATTGAAAAATCGATGTTTCTTTTACCTGGTCCTCGGATCTAGCAGGCGTTTGAAGAGCTTGGCGATTAAATTTCTGTACATTGTAAAGCTCGACGATCTTGTCATAGTTCTCACCCCACCACTGTTGAGCCTGCCACTTGTCGAACATCTCCCGGCTTTCAAAACAAGACACAAGTGATGGTTAGTTTCAGCTTCAATGTAGTGACATTAGCAGCTATGTATTTTCCAACTAAACGATGATTGAAACATTTTATCTAACATTGTACTGCAACCAAACCAACATTCATATCGACACAAAAAACATGCAGGTTCTGTTCTAGACAACTTACTGATGTAGATCACACACACACAGAGGTTGTTTTCAGTAGTTCAATAATCAATTACCTAAAGCGGATACGTTTCAGATCATTTCCTCCAGTGGGAAGCGAAGAGAATGTGATATGGACACCCGGTTCTACTTGAGCCATCCACTCTTTTGGCCCTTCATCATCTAGTACCACATCACAAGACTGAGCAGAGATAGATTCTCGATCATTTCCATAGATTGATGTGAATTTTGGCTCTGACCGTCCAGCTGGATGGTGAGAGGAGTTTGTAAAGTCCCAAGCAGGAGTTGAACCGGCGCTGCCACCCATGTAAGGGTACGGAACACCTTCAGAGGCATTGTCATAATCTGGGAACGGTCTATGTACTTTCTTCATAGGACTGGTAGAGGAACCAGTGCATGGCTTACATTGTTTATAAGCACCAGAGAATTTGATAGCCATATCTTTAATCTGCATAACACAGGTTACCCAAAAACGCTACTAAACGTTAATACAACAGTTTCACCAACATCATATTTTCAGGCTTTAAGCTATGACCAAGTGCGTCAAGAGAACTACACTTTTTAGCCTACCGAAGTAAAAAGAGGACATCTACTATGAGCATTCTTAAAAGAACATCAATAAAGCAATCAGATCTAACATTACTATATAAAAAGAAACTACTTCATCTTGTCTTCTCAAGTCTGCAGAATACAATCATAACGGCCATCTCTTCCTTTTATTTTTCTTTTGATTTACTAAATAGTTGCGCCTACTCTTTTAAACCCTTTGCTTTATTTTTCCTGTCTATGTAAGAATCCACTAAAGCTTATTTGAGAAAAGAATAATTGTAACAGTCTTCATTAGCAATATTCATCAAATCATGACCCTCATAACTTTAATCACCCACTACAATCCAAATGAAGATTTTAAACTGGATACATCATTTAAAAAAAATTGCAATCTGGGTTTTTATTGTTTGAGTAATTGTTTGGCTTTCATGTCTAGTCACATAGATGGGAAACACACTGACATAACCTATGAAAGAGAGATTGGTGAAAGTGGAAGTTGCATCTCTGTCTAAACAACGGTGAACCACTATAGTAATGAATTATCAGTTCTAATTCATTAGACAAATCTCAAAGATAAAGAAAAGAATATCAGTCGAATATAAGGACTGTAAGTTTTCTTAAACAGTATTAAAGAGTTGCTTTTTTATCTTCTATGAGATACGTTAAACTGGGGTCTGTGTCTTTGGTTTGTTTCACTAGCAAGGCAATTAGGGAAAAGCAACAAAATAAAGTGAAAAAAAGAAGCAGAAGGATCAACAAAGAAAGAAGAGATTAGATACATAGAGAGAGAGAGAGAGACCTGTGTGGTTAGGCTTTTGACGGCTTCTTTAGTATTGGGAGTGGTGTTTCCACGCGCTCCGACTTCCTCACCTCCGTCTGCTTTCGTACAAGCTATGCAAGTGAACATCTTTGGTTCTTTTTGTGTTTTCTTGCCTTTTCAGCCCTATAAAATCGTATAAAACAGACTCTACTTAAAATAAACATCACACAACCAAACCTCAGTGAATAATACTACTAGAAACCAAATAAAGTCATTACAAAACTAAAAAGTAGCGAGAGCTAAACAATAAAGTCGATTCACAATCCGACATATAACACGGTAGATATAGCTTATGTAATCAGGGTACAAATTTTAATTTATTTAAAGGTAAAGGTTTTTTCTAACAAAGAAATGGTCCCACAAAATGAATGGTAACAGACAATTGTAAAAATTAGTTAGAACATAGGAAGGGGAATATGGATGCCAATTGGTCGTTTTCTATAACGCAAACACAACACAAAAGAACAAAAGTTGTGACGTATCTCTGTTCTGGTTAGAAAACAACTAGTCAAAAGAAAGTAGAAACTTGATAAAGTTGATTGGTTTAGTAAAAGAGAATATGGAGTAAAACTCCAATGTAAAACTCCATTTTTTCTTTTAAAATGGAGTAAAAGAGAATAAAAATGCTACAATCTCACTCCATTTTCCACTCCATAATGGAGTGATGAACAAACAAAAAACAGATTACCCATTTATGGAGTAAACTCTATTATGGAGTAGAATATGGAGTAGGGTTGGAGTGTTTTCTACTCCATATTCCTTTTTACTCCATTTTAGAGTAAAAAATGGAGTTGGATTGGAGATGTCCTAACTCCATAAAGAACCAATTATATTTCAAGAACTAAACCCATTATTAGTAGTATATAAAATAGAATAATTTTTTTTAACACATTCCACCATGGTTGGACGTGACTCGTGAGTGTTACCTCGGAGACTTATAGAGCTCAAGACCAATCTCAGACAGGTCTTATAGAACTCAGCACTACAACAAAAAAAAAAAGAAAGAAAAGAACTGCAAGAATACAATAATAAAAGCTATGAGACAAAATTGTTGAAATATGTCTAAAACTGCAAGTTAACACTTTTCCTTTAAAAACAAAAACTGAAACCAGAAAAGAAAGAACTTGGGGATCAGAGGATAGGACCCCCTGTGAATAATATCTTTAAAAAAAAATCTGCAACATAAAATGGTTATAAAATTAATAATGCCCTTCGTGTGAAACAATGATGAGCCCCATCGCCATTCCTAAACTAACACATATTCAAAAAAAAAAAAAAAAGTTGGAATAAGAATAAAAACATTTACTACAGTTGCTAAAATTCCTGACATTTATAAATCTAGATTATGTGAGCAGCCAAATAAAACAGAAAACTTTTTTTTTGGTAAAAGAAAAACAGAAATTGACAAAAGAATCAAATGATATGTGGAGATTTCTCCCGTGTTTATCACCATTCTAGACGGAAAAAAAAACAGCAAAATATAAAATATCACTGGAAAAGGAAATATTAACTATTTTAAAACAAGAAAATAGAGTCTTGACAGTCACGTGTTAGGAAAAAGAAAAGGAGTTTGGTTTCTATATTTAGGGTTTTGAGTGATGATGGACCAATCTAAAGCGTGCCGAGTGATGAAAGCATACAGTATATATGAATTATATTCTACTATACAAAAGTTATAAAAAAAACTTATAAAGAAGTTGCAGCAATTACGAAGAATAATAATAGGGGGAGAAGTAAAACTCTTGTTTTTGATATGTTAAGGCAAATGCAATAACTAACTACAAAAGCCTTTGTTTTTTTTGTTTCCTTCTTCTTATTGATTTCTCAAAACATTGAATTTGACTTAATGGAATAGTGGGTGGTTTGTACTCACCTTTTGTTTCGATAACTGCGAATCTGATTAAAGATTATTGTTAGTTAGCAGCTATGCTTTTATGGTTTAGTCTATCTCCGTCGCCGGGCACGAGTGGGGTTCGTTCTGTCTTCTGTGTCTAAGGCTACATACATATATATAGACCATCATCAATGGCTGCACAATAAATGTGAATAAAGAATTGATAATGATGATTTAAAGCTTTTTTTGTGGCAGAGAAGAATTCAGAGTTCTTCATAGTGAAAAGCAAAGTAAAGTTTGGGAACAATAAATACCCGCGAAACTTTTGAAATGAATAAGAAACGGTAAATTTTCCTGGAAAGCTGTAGAAATTTACGATTTGAGTTTTATGAGAGAGCAAAAAAAATCTGTTTGGATGCTTAAAAGCTATGAGAAAATCTGGAGAGAAGTGACGAATCAAATCTGTCAAAAAATCAAATCAATCGTGACAGTAAAAGAAAAAAATGCAGCAGGTAAAGACAATATTGACACACACCACAAAAAAAAAATTCTCTGAATCTTTTTTCTCTTCTGGGAAAACAGTTTGAAAAGATCGATCGGACAAACGAGTGACAAATCTCTGTTTCTTTCTCAATCACTTCTACAGAAGAAAAAAGTAATCAACGAAATTCTCTGATTTTTCATTTTCCGATAAAAATCTTTAGAAAATGGATTTCTCACAACGAAACCCGTACTTACCTGAAAATGTCGTCTTCTTTGTGCGATATCGAATCTGATTCTGACACAAAAGCTCCTACTCTCTCTCACAAATCAATCAAACTAACTGCTTAAAAATTTCCAAAAAAAATATCCCCAGAAATCTCTAACAGAATATTTTCTACCCGAAGAGAAGGAGATTAAAAATGGACAACGGTCGAAAGTAATTTCAAAAACCCAAAGAAAAATTACGAGGGAGAGGTTTTTGGTTGGCGGGATACTCGATAACCAAAACGGAGCTCTGAACGTTTATTTGTCTTGGAGTGTAAATTATGACGAAGAGCAAGAGATGAGACAAGAGCTTCTCTGGGTATTTATACGAGAAGGAAAGATAAAAGTTTTAACGGCGTTAAGCTAAAATAACTGCTACTAAAAAACAACTGTGAGTTTTAACAGAGAAGAAGCCTTTGGTGTGCCGATCAAAATTGGTCTCGTTTAGAGACGGCAGTGAGGGCCCATGTTGTCTCACTCGGTGACGGAGATTGCTTACGTGTGTTCGAACTAGGTTTACGTGTCAGTTTACGATTGGTTTAGGACAGCTGAACCGGGTCGGGCTATGGTCACGATTTATTTGACAGGCCAAGGGAACGGTCGCATCACGATTCGCTTTGTGTGTGTTCTTTTTCTTTCGTTTATTTTTCATATAATATATACATGTATCATCGTTTTGTCTTGTTCTAGATATGATCATGTTTGATAAAAAAAAGTAATCTTTTTATACTAAATGAGTAAAGAAGTCTCGAATAAGATGAGAATTATATCAAAAACTATAAAGACCGCGAGGGTCATAACTGCTTCTATAGCTATGGTTATCTAATTAAACGTTTTTAGTGTATGTGCGTCAGAATATCTCCAAAAAGACTCTATTTTAAATTTTTCAAAACTCTATATTTTAAAGTTTCCAAAACTCTATATTTGAAGTTTCAAGGTGTTCTTTTCCAAAAGAAAAACTTCAAATTTAACTTCAAAATTATTTCTATTTTACATTTTGCTCCTTATATTTGTCATAGTGAATATAAATTCATAAAACATTGATAAATAACATACACATATATATATATATATAAATTATACAAGAATATTAATTAATAAAATCTTACACTAAAATATAAAATTATAAATACAAATACATGATTATTACAAATAGAACACCACATTTTTGTTGTCTAATTTTAATTTTAAAATATTTACAAAATACTAAACTACAAGCAACTATTTTAAAATTTATTATAAATTTTTATTTAGTTTTATGTCTAAACTTAAATTTATAAAAGGTAAATTTTAATTTGAAATATTTATGAGATTTAAACAAATTTTATGGACTAAAACAATAAATAAAAAAAAATTATTTATAAATTCAATTTTTATTTGTAATTGTAAGGACCAAAATGCAATTAAAAAGATGAAACTTCAAATTTAGAGTTTTGAGTATTGAAACTTCAAATATAGAGTTTCACTCTTAAAAAATTCAAATTTGAAGTTTTGAGGTTTCTTTTTGGAGAGCAAAAAACTCTATATTTGAAGTTATAGAGTTTATTTTGGAGATGCTCTTAGTGGGAAAAGGCCGTATTCCTATCCAAACAATTTCAATCGTACCAAATACAATCTGAACAAATTTTAAGTGTCAAATACGACATGAACTACGTTATAATGCAAAAATACTACCTGAACTTTTTAAAACGTGCCTAAACCTACATTGACCGTAACAGAAGTTAGTCAACCGTTAAAATGATAAAACGACGTCGGGAAAAGGGCAAGGGCATATTCCTACCCAAAAAAAATTCAATCGTGCCAAATACAACCCGAAAAACATCCAGTGCCAAATACGACCTGAACTATGTTATAATACAAAAATACTACCTGGACTTTTTAAAATGTGCTGAAACCTACATTGACTGTAATCGAAGTTAGTCAACCCTTAAAATGATAAAACGACGTCGTTTTGATTCTACAATTAAAAAAACGAACATTCCGGGACTCAAACCCGGGCTTTGTCACTATTTAAAACATACACATCAACCACTAGACTAAAGCAAGTTTTTTTAAAAATACTACAAATTTGCAATTATATATGCTACTATACTTTTTAATCTTCTCTAATTAAACTTTTGTTATTATTATTTTTGATTCTTATAAATATATTAACATACTTTGTAATAATTATATCTTCAATAAACTTATATTATACTAAAATATAAATAATTAAATATTTATAATCCTACAAAATTAAATATATTTCATGTTTTTCAACTATTTACAAAATGTCCATATATAAATTATTTTAAAAATAAAACTTAATGGTAATTTATTTTATTGTGGTAAAGTATATTCAGCTTATATCAATTTTAAGAAACAAAAGAAATCAACATTCAAGTTTTAAAATAATTTATATATGGACATTTTGTAAATAGTTTCAAAACATGAAATATATTTAATTTTGTATAATTATAAATATTTATTATTTATATTTTAGTATTTATAAGTTTATTAAATATGT